AGGGCACACATTAGCTTACTTCCGGTATGCGAGCGGCATCTTCCAACTCAAGATATCTATAAAGATACGCTCGAACGAGCTTTTGAGATAGGATTCTGCCGTAGTATACCGTATTATCCCAGCACCGACTCGAAGCATTGAATCTTCACGGGAAGACTGCATGAACCAACCAACGAAACTCACCCGTTAACCTCATCTATTATAATACCATTACAGAGATCTGAAAGGGAAGCATGCATGCGAGTCGGAGAAGATCACTAGAACGGTGGATTTCGAACCGCGGAATCGAATCCAAGGACTCGACGACGAACGATCACGAAAGGACCAGGGCCACATACTGCTCTTCTAGCTAGGCCGATGAGGAGAAATCACAAGATGCCACGGAAAGATAGATCACAGTTATGGAAAACGAGGAAGCATATTTGATATCCACAACTCATCCCTACATCAGGGTTTGATGAGAATCACAGAGTTGTAGAATTGGTTATGCCAACAAATCCATCTGCTCCAACCAAAACGCCAATGGTAATTTCAGAAAAGGTCTCCCCAGCTTCCAAAGAATACAACGTGGTTTGGTTGGTGGCTGTCACAGTGATCCAGCCAGAGGATATGCCATCACCAAAACTGTCTGATACAACCAGTCTGTAGGATGTGTCAGTGATAACTGGGAAGAGAGAGGAGTACAGATACTCTTTAACACCCAGTGGACCATCTGATTCCAATGCAGCCCAAATACCAGTCACATTGGTTTCCTTCTGCCAAACCCACGATGTTTCCCATGGATGATCAGCGGTTTGAATATTGAGCATGACAGCAAGACCTGTGGTTGGAAACCGCCCAGGCCAAGCAGGCGGACCTTCAGTGAGGTCAGCACATGTGGCAACCGAATGCGTCTCATTTTGGGAACAATCACACCATAGAAATGAACAAAGATGCTCTGGCACAGTCCCCGAGAACTGGTTCCCATATAGCCTTAACACCATAGATGCATTCAGTTGGATGGGAAGTGCTCCTGTCAGGTTATTGTTTTGAAGGCTCAGAGATGTCAAAGCTGTCATCATGCCAATTTCTGTAGGGATTGTGCCGGTGAACTGATTGGCAGACAGTTCAAGCTCTCGCAATGAGGTCAGCTGTCCAAGCTCAGAAGGAAATGGACCTGTCATCCGATTCTCATGAAGATGCAGCCAACGCAACGAGCTTAGTTGGCCAAGCTCTGATAAAATCCGACCGGTCAACTGATTCGAGTAAATCCAAAGGTCTTCCAATGAGGTCAAGAACGCAAGCTCAGAAGGAATTGTCCCCGTCAATAGATTGTCGTTGAACCTAAGCCCTGTCAAAGCCGTCAAAAGGCCAAGCTCGGAAGGGACTTGACCAGTGAGATGATTTTGATTCAACCATAATGAATTCAAAGCACTCAACTTTCCAAGCTCAGAAGGCACTGGACCTGTCAACTGGTTGCCATTCAACAACAGCATACTTAAACCAGTAAATGCACCAAACTCAGAAGGAACTGGACTGGTAAACTGATTGGCAGATAGGGAAAGACGGCCTGCCAATGAGGTCAGGAGCACAAGCTCAGAAGGAATCTGACCGGTCAATTGATTGCTCCAAAAGTCAAGCACGGACAATGAAGTCAATAGTCCAATCTCCGAGGGAATGGTGCCTGACAACCGATTCAACTCGAGGTAAAGTCCGGTCAACGAAGTCAATTGCGAAATCTCAGAGGGAATTTTGCCAGTGAAATGATTTCCCAACAAGTTCAAATTTTTCAATCCAGTCATCTCATAAAGTTCTGTCGGTAACAGTGATGAAATTGGTCCGGCAATGTCATTCCTCCACAGAGCTACAAGAGACAAGAACGTAATGAGAGTTACCTCGGGTGGAATCAATGGTAAAAAACCAGAAAGCTGGAGGTCTTGTAGAAAAAGAGAGGCGTACTCTCCATTTTCATTGCATGGAGATTCTGGGGACGGATACTCAAAGAATTGTCCCTTCCAGAAGTATCCAAACCCACTGGAGAACCAGTCACACTCTTCACCGTGTCATCCATCCATCCGGCCCTTGATTAAAGGATTCCAATTTTCTCCCTCAAAGGCATAGAAAAAAGTAGCAAGAGCAAACAGTTGCGTCTTTCTCCATTCTGGAAGAAAGGTGATATTTTGGTGATTGGCTAGCCAGTTCCATGCTCTCCACTGTGGAGTCTCACTGCCATTGTTCATTCTTGCCACAGTGTACTCTGGTAGGCTATCCAACAGCATGTCCAGAGCTCCCGTGGGGGCAGAGGATGGCACTTCTGAAGGTTCCACAGAGCCATAAACTGTAGGACCCTCTGTTGACTCGAGGATGACCACTTTTGGCTCCTTGTTCTTTTGGGTTCCCACGACGAATCCCACAATAATGGCAGCAGCCAGCAACAACCAAAGAGCTGCGGCACTGAATTTTTTGTGCTGCCGCTTCCTTTGGAGAGTGCGATGCCGGGCTGCGTCCAGCTCAACAGGGTCGGCATGCATCAAATCAGCCGTATCATCCTCTACGGCACTAGCCTGTACCAATCCTTCATTTGTCAATATTCGTGCAGCAGTACCTGTGCCAACAATCAAATTTTCTGGACCACTCTCAGCGCCCGAATTAACACCAACAAGCCCGTAGTTTAAACTGGGGTTTCGACGCCACGATTGTCCTCCTGGTGTACCCGGGAATGCACCTGGCTGCGATCGTGGATACATCTCGGTTGTTCGGTATGCAGCAGTTAGTGTGAGAGCCTGCTCTGACACTGCAGGGTACTCTGCCGTATTTCCTGAGACACCATCTTGTTGTTCCCTCAAGGCAGCAGCCTCTTGTGTGCTGGACAAAACATCACCACTTATTGTGTTGGCATTGGCTGCATTTTGAAACTTTTCCATGATTTCTTCTTCTCTGGACTCACTTATTGTTTCCTGACTGAGATCTTGTTTTGCAACTGCTTGACTGGTCAGACCAGCCACAGGTTTTAGGGCACTTTCTTGGACTTCTTTGACTTCGTCGTCATCTACCGCTGTCAACGTGTTTTTGGTATTTCTACCGTTGTTGGTTCCAGCCAGGACGGGGTCCGGCAGTTTCTTGACAGCTTCTTCTTCTTCTTCCTGAGTTTGTCTATTGGTGCTTTCATGGTCTCGTTGGACTTGTAAGGCTTCTGCCCCGGCTCTCTTGATCAGAGCGTCCCTTACTGCTGCGTCGAGTTGATTGCCTTCACTGAAGTCGAAGACAGCGGCACCATCAGCGCTACCAGTGCTACTGGTGCTGGAATGATCACCGTTTCCTCCTTTCATCGCAGGGTATATGCTTCTGGTGTATTACTATAATACTGTACGCTGTTAGGGGGAGAATGGATGCCAGAGGAGCTAAAAGGCCTGCTGCTTCAACAACACCACCTACGTGTTCCCTCAGGTAGAAAAGGTAAAACAATAATCTTTTCTTCCACAGTTTAAATTTAAAAAGCGAAAATAGCAAGATTTTATATACCTCACCTACCTGATGCCAATATGGCGCACGATTCGATTCATTCAACCAGCCAATTCCAGGTGTTTTGAGAGTGCTTGGTTCCTCACTATATCTATTCCATTGTGTGCAATATCGCGAGCAAAAAAGGCTAACCATGCATATTATTGTCACCACATACCAAACCCGACCCGGAGCAACCTCGATCATGAGACTGAGCTGAGCCATAATACCGTATCATCGCAAGGTTTTTTGGTTGACACATAGTCAACTATTGCTGCATTGCATTGCATTGCATTGGACTCGACGATGCAATAATAAGCGGAGGAGGACGTCGTGGCACGGTTTGCCGTTGGCCAATAAAGGTATACTGTCACTCGAGCGCTAAAAGTGCAAACGGCTGGGACTCGACTCGACTCGACACTCCATGGTACCTTACCGTACCGTACCGGTATGGTAGTCTACTGTTACTACGTACGACATCGTCCTGATCGTTTCAGGTAAAAAAAACTGAACGTCTAATAACGGATTCTGACGAGATGTGCTTGAGGACTACCCACGACTAGGGCTCGGGTATTTCCCACAGTCAAGTCTGCTCACGGCCACACTGGCCTCCTGAGAGGGTGCGAGCCTGTTAGCTATCTAAGATTTGTACACTGAGGTCAGAGCCATGATTCACCACAAATCACGAGCTCTTTTGTTGAAGAGAGTTGGGGTTGGTAAAGAAGTTTGAGGGGGTAGGAGGGGTAAGGAAAAAGGGATGGTAGGAATGTCCGACTATCCTGTTTCCAGGGCTGTGGTGTAGTGATCTCTTGTAACACAGGTTCCCATGTGTTCAAAATTGAATGATGACTGGTGTATTCAGTTGCATGCGCGATTCGAGTGGTATCTGGAATAGCCATTCCAAATGTTGGGACTTCTTGCTGGTATGCTTCGTAGAACTGAATGAGTTGTCGGATTGCTTGTGCTTTCTTTGCTTGTGACTTGGTTCTCATTGTCGTGCCCATGTCTGTCTTGGTTGCGCATCCCAGAGTTTCCACCATTCTTTATAGATAATGTCAATGAGTCCAGTGAGCCATGTGAGTCCATTGTTGCGTTTGGTTGGCGGTCTTTTTCATGTTCAAATATCGGTCTTGTTCCTGACTGAATTGTTTAGAGATTCTCCCTTTAACAGATGATGCCATCAAATGGCATCTTGTGCTTGTTTCAGTGTGTCCCATGAAGGATCTTCTTGGATTGTTGTTGGGTTTTGGTGATGTAAACATACTTTGAGGCCTGATAGGAGAAGCCCCTGGATTTTTGAGAGGTGTCCTTTTTCTGGACATATGCTAGGACTGCACTGTACATTTCTCGCGCCATTTGATTCTTTCAGGCTGCTGCATTCCATCAGATGGTGCCTTGTTTCTGAAGGGTTGTTGCATGATGGGCATCCTGCATAATACTTTGGGGTTTGTTTTATGAAGGAATGCTCCAACAGGTAGGACTTTGTTGAGTTATTTGACCATTGTTGGACGATGATTATCGTGTCTTCGCAAAGCTCTTCCATGTGCGTCCAGTCAATGTCATTGAATGTGTCTTCTGACCAGTTGTAGTCTTTCATCATTTTCTGTTTGAGCAGTGGTAGGTTCTGGCACATTTCAGCTCTTGTTTTGAGATTGAATGTGACTGTTCCTTGTTTCAGTTCAACTTGCATCCACTGGTGGGTAAATGGGAACTCTGGTGAAGTGGTGTCCGAGTGAGCTTGGAGCCATGTGTCGGTAGCTTATCGGCATCTACATTCAGCTGAGTTTCAGCGGGAGTTGGTCATAGGGTTTGTTGTCGTCTTGATGTCCCTTTATGTGATGGATTGAGGGCCTGGATGCTTCGTCGAGGTCTTCTAACATTGTGTGTCTGATTTCTGCAATGATGTCCCACTCAGAGCCCAGTGTGGTGTTGGGGTATATTTTGTGAAATGATGTGTGCTTGTGACTACTTCTCCGATGCTTTTGTTTGTCACAGAGGTGCTCATGCTTGGTGAGAATCTCTTGTTTGTTGGGTGAATGAATCTTTTGGAGCTGTCTAAGAACCTCATTGCTGAGAGGATCCGTATCCTTCTGCTCTGTAGGAGTTGATTTTGTAACCGAAGGCTGGTCCACAGCAGCGGGCTAGCGTGTGCCATCATGTTTGCTAATGATCCATGCAAATGAGCCTTTGGGGTTGGGTATGAGCCGTCACTGGATATGATACATGTTCGTTGCAGAGGGTTTCCCATAGTTTCTGTCTCCTCGACTAAAAGCTCAAGTTGTTCCAGCATTTTTCTCTCCCATTCTTCAAGGTGTGGAATGGCTTCCATAATTTGTTGTTGGCTGTGTCGACTCTTGTGAGGCTGGTATGGATTTCCATCCTTCAAGAACCATAGATCCTGGTGCTCATCAACGGTGCTGGGGTTGCTGATAGAGGTAGGGAGTTACTGTGTCATTTCTGTGTGTATCGTAGCTGTGGAATAATTGTGCATGCTTGCTGAATTTGTTGTCATTGTTCTTTTGTAGATGTGGTTGGATTCTGGATCATAATAATGTGTCCATATTCTTCTCTGTTCTGCTAGTGGTACAGTCCAGGCTCCAAGTGGTTTGTTGAGGTTCAGGTTTCTCCAATTACAGAGTAAGTTGAGGGCTTGTTTCCATGCTTTCCATGCTTTTGCATTGGTCGTTCTTGGTTAACTGGAATGTCTCTGTCTGACTGACAATGTTTTTGAGATCTCCTGAGTGCATAGCTTTGTCGATTTTCGTTCCGCAGGCTGTTGTTATGTCCGATAGCAGAGTAACATTGAGAAACATTCTGCAGTAATTGATTCGCTTGAGTGCTGTCTTTTTGAATTTTCCAGATTGGGTACCAAATCCATTATGAAGTATCATTTTGTCGTTGGGGCTTGGGAGTGTATGGGTTGCAAGTTTGATGGTCGCGTCAATTGTTTTCAGATAGTCTCTCATGGAGGAGATCCATTTGGATTCTAAATGGTGGAATGTGGTGGTTGTGTCTTCAAGAATTGGGGTTGATGTGCCACAGCAGAATTGTGCCCATGCCATTGTTATGTGCAACATGAGTCCTGGTTGGGAGTGTGGTGATTTCCAGAACTTTGTGAATGTAATCGTTTCAGGTAAGATCATCACAAGATGTCAATCGTTGGGCGTTTCGTTCGCCCACCAAACGTTTCGTGTTTCTACTACTATACATACATGAAGAAGTTGCAGTACACGTAATACGGTTATTTTAATGCATGACGTGTCGAGTTGGAAAACATCCAATGCTGCCAGACAAAATCCGTTACGGTGGCTACACCGCACCGTACGAGCCAGGGCAAGGCAATGCTGTTGGCTACCTTTGATATGACATATGCATAGTTTGATTCAATCGTGGTAGTATGTACTGTATTGCCATGGTTTTTCGTTGCTCTCTTTATTGGACGGATCGCTGCCAACTCAGTTGGGAGTACGGTAGGAGCTTGGCATTTTCTGTCCACTCTCTCGATCGGTCTGGTGCGAGTACGAGTGACGAGTCGAGACGAGTGAGTCGAGTCGAAGGATAACTGCATGCACGAGTTCGCTCGTTCGGTAGGGAAGGTTCTACTAGTACGTACCGGTCAACTGATTGAGGGCAAAGTTCGTTGCAAGGGTAACGAGGTCCATTCACCAACAAGCGTGCAATGACGAGAGAGATACCATGCATTTGTGTTCCACTCAGCTATATTCAACGTGCCATAGCAAGGAAGAGTGACAGTGTCTGCGAGTTGACAATGCGTGCTACCGATACGCTGTCAGGTATGGCATTCCATAGATAGCTATATATCCGGATAGCGACGTGCATCTGACATCCGATCCGAGCTTCGGCCTCAGTTCAAAGTCTGCAAAGCTAGCTAGATTGCTCCCTTGCATTCGTGACTAAACATACACATGTGTTGAAGGAAATCCTCTTCGAACAAGCTCAGTTTCACGACCAGGCCGGCAGGTACAAGACACTGAAAGGCTGGTTTTCTACAAAAGCGGCAGAGTGCACGGTGCGGTCATTTCGCTGTTTTCAGCATCAACGGGGGTTTTCACTTGCTTATTTCATGGAAATCCTGCCACGAAGCCAAGAAACAAGAATTCTTAGAAGACGAGAGAATACAGTATCGAGAATCGAGAGCGGCGATTGATTCGCCTGTCTGCGGGTATTAGTAGTAATAGTACAGTACAGTATATACTCATTATTTGGCAATTTGAACACCATGAAAGAAGAGCTTGATAGTAAGAATAATAAGGAGGACGTGGAGAAGGAGGCATCTCCTGGCAGTGGCAGTGGTGACGGGAACGATGGCCAACAAGAAGAGGCACTCGACGTGTTACGGGATGTGCTCATTAAAAGAGCCGAGGCCGAAGCTGCTCAATTCCAAGCGGAGGAACTCTATGGCACTGCCACTGCTGCTGTAAGCAACGTAAGGCCGGCCGATCGAGAGGAAGAAGACATGGACACTGTTGTTTTGGATATCCTGACTGATCGGCCAGCTTTGGAAGCCGCACAGTTTGAAAAGGATAAAGAAGCTGCCATGACCAGAGATTTGAAAGTAAAACAAGATCTCAGTCAAGACACAAATCTAGAAGAAAATGGATTAAATATCACGGTTGGTCGCACCAGTTTGGGAGTCGCAAAACAAGATCTCAGTCAAGACACAAGTGAGTCTAGAGAAGAAGAAATCATGGAAATTGTGGCAGGGCAGGCCAGTTTGGCAGTTGCCGAACGCCTCAATGCAAAAGTCAATGAAGCTGCCGAAGTGGAGGGAAAAGCTAATCGTGTTCCATCTGACGCACAAAATGCTACTCGTGTGCCGGAAGAACAAGATCAAGATAGCGGACCAGGAAACATGACAGACACCCACACAGCAGCAGTAGAGCCTGTCCCAGAACCTGGCTTGTACCGAACAAACCTTGTGAATCCGCAATCTCAGCCAGGTGCGTTCCTGGGTGCACCAGGAGGACGGTTGCAACGAAACCCCAACTTAAACTATGGCCTTCTTGGTGCTCATAATTCGGGCACTGATAGTGGTCCAGGAGATCTCCGTGTTGGTACGGCAGGACAGATATCGACAAACGAAGGTTTGGTACAAGCTAATGCTGTAGAGGATGATACGGCCGAATTGATGCATGCCAATCCAGTTGATCTGGAAGCTGCCCAGCACCGCACACTACAGAAGAAACAGCAACAGAGAAATTTCTTGGCAGCAGTTCTTTGGTTGTTGCTGGTTGTTGCCATTATTGTGGGCTTTGTGGTGGGAACCCAAAAGAACAAGGAGCCAAAAGTGGTTGTCCTTGAGTCAACGGAGGCTCCAACAGTTCATGGCTCCATGCAACCCTCTGAGGTCCCGTCCATAGCTCCCACTGGTTCTCTGGACTTGCTGTTGGATAGACTACCCGAATATACTTTGGCCAGCATCAACAGTGGAAGTGAGACGCCTCAGTGGAAAGCATGGTGGTGGCTAGCCAATCACCAAAACATTACCTTTCTTCCAGAATGGAGAAAGACACAGCTGTTTGCTCTCGCAACTTTTTTCTATGCGTTTCAGGGAGAGAACTGGAATCCATTGATAAAGGATTTTGGATGGATGGATGATACTGTCGAAGAGTGCGACTGGTTCTCCAGTGGGTTTGGATATTTCGCTCTTGGAAAATACAATCAAGCACCATATCCAATTTTGTCCTGCAATGATAGAGGAGAGTACACCTCTCTTCATCTTGAACACCTGCGGCTTCATGGTGCTGGTCTCTCACCATTTATTCCACCCGAGATTACCCTCTTGACTGCATTGGCCAAGATTAGATTGCAAGTTACTGACATTTCTATGTCAATTTCATCTCTGTTGCCAACAAAACTTCTTCACGAGATGACTGGATTGACAACGTTGAACTTGTCAGGAAATGAGTTCACTGGCAAAATTCCCTCTGAGATTTCACTAATGAGTTCATTGTCTGGACTTTTCTTGGGATTAAATCAGTTGTCAGGCCAAATTCCCTCTGAGATTGGACTATTGACTTCCTTGGCCCGGCTTTCTTTACCAGAGAATGAGTTGACCGGTCAGTTGCCTTCTGAGCTTGGGCTCCTACGCTCATTGGAAACCCTTTTCCTATCTACCGGTACCAATCAGTTCACCGGTGAACTGCCTTCAGAGCTTGGGCTTCTGACATTACTGAAAACAGTTTTCCTGACAGCCAGTCTGATGACCGGCCCAATTCCTTCTGAGCTTGGGCTTCTGACCTCATTGGAAGGGCTACTATTTAGTGATAATCAGTTCACTGGTCCGATTCCATTTGAGCTCGGGAAGCTAACTTCTTTGACTTCTTTATCATTGAATCAACATCAGCTCACCGGTCAAATCCCATCCGAACTTGGTCTTTTGACCTCATTGGACTTTCTTTGGCTTGCTGAAAATAGGTTGTTGGGTCCCATTCCTTCTGAGCTGGGAATGCTGACTGCATTGACTTGGTTAGAGTGCGATCAGAATCAGCTCACGGGTCAAGTCCCTTCGGAGCTTGGGCTCATGGTGTCATTATTATGGATTGACCTTTCTGAGAGTCGGTTCACAGGTCCACTGCCTTCTGAGCTAGGGCTCCTGACCTCACTGAGTCGGCTTTCCCTATTTGACAATCAGTTCACCGGAACAATCCCGACTGAAATTGGCATGATGACAGCTTTGACATCCCTTGCTCTTCACAACAACAGCCTGGCAGGAACACTGCCCAGCCAACTGAATGCATCTATAGAATTGAGGCTGTATGGGAACCAGTTCTCGGGAACTGTTCCAGACCATCTGTGTTCTTTGCTGGGGTGCAATTGTTCCCTAAATGAAACTCCCCCTGTTTCCACCTGTGCTGGTCTCACAGAAGCTCCGGTTGAGTGGCCTGGGTTGTTTCCAACCAGTGGTGCTGATGTCATGCTGAATATCCAAACTGATGAATATCCGGAGGAAACATCATGGATTTGGCAGAAGGAAACGAATGTGACTGGTATTTGGGACACACTGGAATCGGGTGGTCCACTGGGCATTGGATATTATCTTTACTCCTCTCTCTTCCTGGTCAATTCGGGCACAGCCTACAGATTGATTGTGTCAGACATTTTTGGCGATGGCATACCCTCTGGCTGGATCACTGTGACAGCCACCAACCAAACAGTGTTGTATTCTTTGGTAGGCGCAGAGGATTTTTCTGAAATCACCGTTGACGTTTTGGTCGGAGCAGATGGATCTTTTGATGCGATCAATTCTACAGCTCTGTAATTCTATGTTACATATTTCTATAGGTAAAAGAACTAACTATGTACTGAAGTCAACCTCGGCAGTCTTGCTGCCAGAGCCCTCAACCCCTTTAATTGTTTTTCCTGCTACGGTGGTCCCTGCAGGTATAAGGGTAGGGTTAGAATACAAATAAGTCAGCAAAAAATAAATAAGTATCCTAGAGCTAGGATGGCGCTTTAAAAACCAGCTAAAGCTATTTACATGCATCCTAGTAGGGGGATCTGCTTCTACCAGGAAAAACTCTAATGCCAGCGAACGCTATATAACAAGGATTCTAGCTAGCTAGGGGTATCTGCTTCTAGCTTGCTATGGGAATCTGCTTCTAGCTAGGGGGGATCTTCTTCTAGCTAGCTAAGCACAAGTTAAGCACTATTGTACCAGCCAACAACTACGCATCAGCATTCCCTAAAATCGGATACCTAGGAATCAAAAGAATTCTAGACGACAATAAAATAGACTACATAGACAAAACAATCATCCAAGCCTCCGACCTCAAAGGCCAAGTAGAAAAACTAGGAGTCAACACTAGCAACTCAACAATAGTATCGATCGATGCTGAAGCATACTACCCTTCAGTTCGATTCAAACTAGTGCACAAAGCAGTCAAATACTTTGCCAAGAATCTTGACGCAGAATGCCAAAGACGACTAAATGACTGCCTAGACATGATCAAATTTGGGATGAACTCTACACTACTGACATTCAAAGACAAATACTATGAATATGATGGAGACATGGATCCAGAAGAGAAAGGACTAACCATTGGTGGATATGAATCCGCATGGCTGTCTGATCTAGTAGGAGCTTACATCCTAGAAAATACCAAAGACCATTTTGAAGAAACATCATACTATGGCCTCTACAGAGACGATGGTTTTGCGATCTTCAAAGGAACTTGGACATATGAAATGATAGTAGAATGGAGAGCCAATTTTCAGGCCAAAGTTAACAGCCTAGCCGAAGGAGATTACCTAGTATTCACCTGTAGCATATGGCTAGACCAAACCAAAAGACAACTCCCAAAAGATCAATCCGACCCAAAAGTAACTGTAGAAAGTGGCAAAGCATTCCCGTATCTAGATATGGAACTGTTCTGGTCGGACCAGGAAGAACTTCACTTCCGAGTCCACCATAAACCGAACCAACAACTGAAATATCTAAACAGGGGAACTACCCACACAAACGCATGTCTCAAAAACATCCCACTAGGGGTGTTCCAAAGACTCGCTAAACTCACTACAGTTACCAACAAGAATGCCAACCAAACCCTCAATGAGATCTACCCACTACACATCGAGGCGCTGAAGAAAGCTGGATTGGTTCCAGACCAGATACCAACACTACAAGAAGAAATACAACGATATTCCCAGCGACAAGAGGACAAAGCAAACGAAGCAGATAGAGATGCCAAGCAACGAAAGAGGAACCGGAACCGATCATTATTCTTCTGTATACGACACTCCAACGCCTGGACGACCCCAATACACAAGGTAATCAACGGCCTCAAGAAGAGCCATGGCCTTGAATGGATTAGAACGTCAATGTCCTACCATCGATTCACCAACCTGCGAGAGATGTTCATGGGCGACCTATCAAGGAAGCTCACCAAAGACGTCATGTCCACCGAGTTCCAAAATGAAACCTGCAACTGCAAGCCAGGAAACAAGAAAGACGGCCAATGCCGATTCGACGACCGCTGTAGAAATAAACTGGCCATATACTGCATCAAATGCATAAATTCAGGCAAGGAATATGTTGGGGCAACCCAACGAAACGTCAAAGAAAGAACATACCAACACTTCACCGACGTCATGCGTCTCCTCTACGGAAAACGCAAGTCAGATTCCTACGCAAGACACTTCGCCAACGAATTCCAAAACTTCGCACCTCCTTCACCATTCCGACTTAACGGCAACATTCAAAGGAATAGCATCGAAATTAGCATCCTATGGCAAGGCAACCCCATCAGCACTGTCAAGACCTTCGGGACACGACACTGCAGCCTATGCAACAGGGAGCGACTCAAGATACTGAAACGATTCAGAGAATCGCCAGAAAACCTGATCAACTCCTGCAACGAAATATACGGAGCATGCCGACATAAACCTCGATTTCATAAGTACCACAAAAGCCCAAGCACTGATGATTCCCAAGGGGGATGAAAAAGTCAAACAACCGAAAAGTTACCACAGAGTAAAGCCTGTGTTTTGGCGATTCGGCAGTTTGTGCTGATCAAGAGTAAAACTACTTAATTCAGTCACTTTTTGCTAAAATCGCATGACACTAGCTAAGCACTAGAGGTATCTGCTTCTAGCTAGCTAGCTAGCTACTAGCTAATGGGGTATCTGCTTCTACACTGAAACCTTTCTGCCGAGGTTACACAGCTCCGCTGGCTTATCTTTGGCCAGACAGCAGTATCATGATCTATATTTTGGATGGGCGAGATCAAAACAAGATCACATCTATGGCCATTTTTTAGAACCATCAGTTTGGATTCAGGGTCGCCATGCGCTCGTCCGACTCCACCGTCACTCGTCTTATTGCCCAATGTGGACATATCTTGCAAAGGCGAGGAGACAATGGTTGAGATAGTTCCCTGTCTCGTCGAAATGTGTAGTTTGCTTGCACGGACGGTGAAGGTGATGTGCTTCAGGGTTGTCAGTGTCAAGATATTCGGCAGGACGGAGGATCCAGAAGATAGCAGTCATGCAGAGTTCCCACGTGTGTTCATTGATGGCTCCATAAACGTTCTGGGTGTAGTCGAGGGCAGTGAGCATGGCTCTGAGGATGGAGAACTAAATCTAGTTGTCCACGCGAAGCACTTTTTTGCCCTATGATCTCCGATGATCGACGTGGATGCATCGTAATCCACTTTTCCCCCGTTGATTCTATATATTCCGTCTTCCTTTGATTCTGCGGTCGCTTCGAATGACGACGATCGACATGTCCACCGGCACGTCGTCTCGTCTTTCTTCTTTTCCTCTTCTTTCCTCTTCTCCTTGTACGTGGTGCCGACGGCTTTCGTGCTTTTGCGAAGCACGTGACGGCGGCTCTCTTCGTGTTCGACCTGGAATATATACTCGGATGACACTGCCCGCCGATTCCGCGATAGATTGGCATGGCTTTGCGGTAGAGTAAAGTACGTGTGTTGTTATCAAGACCGAAGTATTGTGCGTATCTATAAGGCATCTGCTCGTTGCTTTTGCTTGTAGGTAGCTAGCTATAATAGAAGACTGAGCTGGCTGATGCCACGAATTATGGTTCCCTGTCTCCTATAGTCCATTCATGAGCTGGACGAAAGAGACGAAGTCAATTGAATCGCAGAGGACTGCAGTTCGCGATGAGACAACACGACTTCCGGCACTGCCCAAGCTGGTGTCGCACAATCGCGCTTAATTCAGCCACCTGAGAGCAGGATGATGCATACGAAACATTCTCAAGTGAAGAATGTCGTGAATGCGCGGGCTGCCATTATGGTCAACGTCGAACCATGAGAATTGCATGCTCGTTCGCACCCAATGAACGTGTGGATCCTCGTCACGCGGTGTATAATGGCCTCCACTGCATGCCGGTGCATGGTGTGGATGAGGTAACCCAATGTACAATCGGAGTACTACTCAAAACGACATTACGACATGCGATCCTTGGACGAAGAACGAAGAAGAATCCGCCGCTGGTATTATAGTGATCTTTCACTGCCTGCCGCCCGCTTCTTCCGTTTTGATGGCAGCTTGGTCAGTGCTCGATGAACACTCTAGTAGGATTATAACATCCACATGTAGACGACCGTTGCTAATGAGGGCGCTACTAGCTAGCTGTTTTAAAATAGCTAGTACTGTATGCATAGTTATAGCCAGGCTAACTTGATTGCCTCTGGCCGTGGCCATCTACGAGCCAAGTCGTCGGTAGCACAGTATATTTTACCGGTACGGTCTCCTCGTCCTCGACAGCCACGATCAAGTCTCGGCGCATGTTAGCAGCAATGATTGAGCCGGCTTTGGGCGTCTCTCATCTGTCCTGGGCCTTGTTGATCCCTTCCTTGGCTTGTCTGGTTGGTGACCTTCCCCCTTAATATCTTGCCTGGGTTGGATTTGAAACTTTCCCGGCTGAGGGGGCCAACTCTCTCCGCCCCAATGTTTGTGGGGGTTATCGGTTTAGGGTAGCGGCACGGTGGACAGTCGTACTCAGAGTAGCCTTAAAATAGAATTCTATTTATCACCCTTCCTTGGCTTTGCCGCGGAAAGCGTCGCTGCATGGCATCGATATTCCGTCGACACACACGCGTCCATCAGGAGGAACGTTTTCTACGGTACATTTCATGTTTTTGGCTCAAACCTTGATCGATGGTGCGCATGCAGTGAAACTCGTAGCTTAAAATCGAAGAGTGAACCTTGAAGATGTTTGAACGTGCTCCTTGGGCTACCGGTACGGTATTACGAGGACTAGAAGTGCTACTCTGTAGAAAGTGTATTCACCTCGATCGATACGAGTCGAGTCACGTGGTCCTGTTGTCAGGTTGTGCAGACTGCATGCCTCCCTTCAAAGGCGAGTTCCCGCATTTCCTTTCTTTCTCTGGAACTGCCTGTAGAGAATGAATGCAGCGCTGCTACACTGTACCGGTATCATCGCTGGACCGAAGAATTCTTTCGCGTGGAAAAAACCAAGAATGCCCTTTTTGCGGCTAGTAAAGGGCCGAGTTTTCTGGATCGAGCCAATTCCCTGTCGTCGTATAGCTAGTTTACAGAGTTGCTGCCACTTGCTGCAACCTATGTATACCTGGTATATACCCCAAGAGAAAGAATCTTTGTACTTCACGGAGACATTCCACCAGAGCAAGTCAATGAACACATGCAACAGATGATTACCAGATCGGCTCGTGCCCTTAAATTTGGACACGTAACATTCTGCCGTGGAAATTAAATCGAGACGCGACTTTTCGTGCGAGAATCCTGTGTCTGATGTGTTCCTATATCTATTATCCG